GACCCTGGACTTCAGTGTGACCAAACAGTCTACAGTTAGCTCCAAAACATCTCTCCTGCCTTTCTCTATGTCAGCCCTTAAAGTCGATGCAATAGGCTTGAAGGTCTGGACTCCCATCGGTTAGAAATGCGATCTAATGTGGTTAAGTTTGACCTAAACTCCTAGTGCTTATCTCAGGCAGCTCCTTGGTTCCATGCAGCTCCTGGAAGCCACTGGGATCTCCGTATGGCCCTAGCCGAGGGCGGGGAGAGGTGCAGTGGTGCTGGCCAGGGGAGAAAAGGAAGAGGAACGGGCTTGCGTGAAGCAGAGCTGGGGGGGTGCAAGGGGACTGGCTGGGGAAGATCAGGAGGGGAAGTGGGAGAGAACCGGCTGGCAGGGAAGGGGGGGGCTGAGCAAATTGGCCGGCGGGGAGCAGGACTGACCTGGGCGCTTGCTGCCTGTCCCGCACAGGCTCCCAGCGACACACGAGTGAGGAGGAAGCTTCCCCTCCTCCTCACACTCAACCGACTGAGGGCTCCCGTCAGCAATCGTGGCCCCATCTCGCAGCCGGGAGTCCCAGCTGCTTCCCCCACCCCCGCCAGGCGTGCAGTCGGAAAAATCAGAAAATACCGGACATTGTACATGCCCAGTATTTTCTGGGTTTTTTTACCAGACAGAGCGTGCAAATACCGGACACCTGGCAACCCTAACTCCAGCTCTGATTCTGGCTTCAGTCCCCCAAGGAGTCAGGGCTCTGGACTTTAATCCCACACCGCAGGGAGTGCTGGGGCTCCAGGCTTTAGCCACATGGTCTGGTCCCAACGTTAGGCCTCCAGGCTACTGCCATGCAGCTTGGGTGTCAGTCCCACGGTGTTGCTAGGTTCAGAACTTTGGCCCCAGAGGCTGTGGTGGAGCCTGGGGCTCTCCTTGGCTCCAGGCCTGGTTTCAGCCCTGTGGGGACCTGTGGCCCCATGAAACTGTCTTGTGGCCTCTCTGGTGGGTCTCAGATGCTTGGTTAAGGATCGCTAGTGTAGAATAACCAGCTTTTAATGGCAAAAAGAGCCAAGCCCTTGCTCTGAACACCTTCACCACTTTCCTCCAGGCTGCGTCGGTCAGTAGTGCCAACCTCAACTATTAAATTATGATGAGGTTAATTGTTTACTTGCTATCCGGTTTGAGCAGCTAGCGGTCACACAGCTTCTCCACAACTGTAAGAGGAAGAGGAAAACCGCTGTGATTGTCTCAATATTCCATCAGCCCAGTGGCTGAGGCTTTAAAAACACTTGATATGAGTTTTAGAGCTGAATTTTGCCGAGTGCTGCAGCATAGATAGGTTTCTGCATCCAGTGTCCTGTCACGCTGCAGTGATTTTTCACTCTGTAACAGGGCAGGCGTGCTGCTCCCGTTCTGTGCTTGGTATTTGAACATTCCTTTCTGTTGTAAAGAGGTAAATGTTGTGAAATAAACCAATGTCATTTACTTGGGGTTGATTCAGCTACAATTAAACTGGCCCGTGCATTAAGGCAGCTGTGTACACCCCTGCCAAGGAACAGAGTCTGTGAAAGCATATGGAAGAGTGTGTTTGTCATTTCATGGTAGCAGGATTTGAAATGCTAGCACTCTCACGTAAAGCCAGCAACTTCTGAAAATTGAAAGCTTCTTTCCTGTAATTTTCGCTCTACTTCTGGAAACAGCGTGTGTTGGAACTAGGGCCAGGAATGTCTTTACTATCTTCCCTGTTCAGTACCTGACAGTTTGCTGCTGCTCTAGGATTTGTTGATACATTTCATGGATGTTGGGCTAGCTTCCAAATCCCATTGCTCTCCTCAAAGAATGAAATATAGACATGTTCCTCACGCTTCCTTCCAGCTAGAGTTTACATCATTTGAAAACGTCAGCAACTTGAGGTAAGGCCTAAATATTTCTCTTTGAAGCATGCATGTATTCTTTGCAACTGAATTTCTAGACCATGGAATTTGAAGAGAAGGCTTTGAAAGTCATAACTTTCTGTACCAAGTATATAAAAGTAGTATCTTCTTGGAAATAGGGTTGTTATGAGTTTTACCCAATTAGGTAACTTGTACATTTCTCTACCACAATAAAATAGGAACAATCTATGGTGAGTTGTTCAAAGCAGTTTATTTTCACAGCAAATACTATTGAAAACATCTGAATTATTCTATTAAAAAGGAAAGAAATTATGGGAGGGAACTGTAGTGCACACAACTACTGTAATTTAAAGATTTACAGCTACTGACAGTTATTTTTTCAATCTTGCACTTTTTTAAAAAGTCAGTTTAATCTTACGTGGATTTGCAAACCCTAAAATGCCTTAACCAGACTTATATTATTGTTTCTTGACCTCATTACAAGCCAGAGATATGGTTGTCTGCTGGTTTGACAGCATTTCTTACTTTAATACATTTAGATTTCTTTAACCTTAGCTCTGAAATTCCTAGATTGATGATACTCGGTTTAGGGAATAACGCTTTTTAATTTTTCAACAAAGCCAACTCTACCACTTAAATAGTTCTGGTTTTGTTGTGCTTGGGAGTTCTGTAATGCAGTACCCATGAACAATGCTGAACCCATGAGAATGTGTTGGAGTTTAGCTTCTTATCAAGGCTGAGAGAACTTCTTCAGCCTTAGACTGGCTAAGAATGTCAGGGAGCTGAGCATTTTGCTCCCTTACAGAGTAGCTTTACTAGAGCTGTGTGCACCACCATGCTATGCTCCAGACTTTTTCTCAGGGGTCATGTCAGACTGCCATTGCTTCATCACCCTCATGTCATGTGTTCCTCATAGCACAATCCCACCCTGGAACAGCTCTGTTTGTGCAGAGAGCCTCAGGTGTAGGGCAGTGTATTGAAAACCAATTACCCTGTGTAAAGATTCAAGTTATACACACACGGCTTGACCCTTACACTGCCTTTCCCTCCTGGAGTTTGCTTATTTAGTCAGTGACTTTGCTGCGCACACATTCCAACAAGTGCCCTGTTCCAAGAAAGTTGCTCAAGGTATAAAAAGAGGGTTCTGCTACAGAGTGTGTTTGCACATGTGCATTGATAGCTCACTAACTAGAGTATCTTACTCTTACAGATTCTAACTGGGGAGTATCTTAGCAACTTTTAGCCAGTCTAAGGCTGAAAAGGTTAGTGAGCTTTAAAATAGAACATACAAACAAGTGAGTTCTCTTTTAGGGGGGGAATTGGAAGAAAATTGACCTTCGGGTCTCTAGGACCAGCAGTGGATTTTTAAATTGCATTGCTCTAATTTTGTTCTTGCTACATTAATCTCTGCTGCCAGCAGATGTCCTCTTTGGACTAAAGTTAGCAAATAGTAAACTTTTAAGCACAGACTCCAGAAATATTTGTGAGAGTAGTGAAAGGAATGACCTCCGTAAGACAGCCTGCATAATAGTTGTAGTGTAATTCTCCACTCGTCTCAGGAAGAAAACCTGCAATTTTCTGGGAAATGCAGTTCTCTCTCATTTTTCTATTTCTCCTTGTGCCCTTCTTCCTCATTTAAACTGTAATATAATATGTGCGTTGGCTGCAAGCTGGAGGAATCTGGCTGGTTGTAAATGGGCGCATGGCATTGTCATACATGTTTGGTGGGAGTGTTCTAGAACTTGCAAGTTGTGAGCTCAGATTTTGGCAACTGTTAGGCTACGTCTACACTGCGGGCTTTTTGTGCAAGAACTGTTTTGAGGAAGAGTTCTTGTGCAAAAAATCTTCCACAAGAGCATGTCCACACTGCCATGTGCTTTTGCGCAAGATCTTCCATGCCAGTGTGGATGCTCCCTTGTGCAGGAAAGCTCCGATGACCATTTTAGCCATAGGGCTTTCTTGCACAAGAAATTCATGTTGCTTGTCTACAGTGCCTTCTTGTGGAAGAGCTCTTGCACAAGAGGGCTTATTCCTTTCCCCACGAGGAATAACTCTTCCGGAAGAAGCCCTGTTTTCCGACACTGTACTGTAAATTTACTTGCACAAGAACGCGCATGCAGTGTAGACAGCTGGCAAGTTCTTGTGCAAGAACAGCCATTCTTGTGCAAAAAGTGTGCAACGTAGACACAGCCCTGGAGACACTGACTTCTCCAGTTTAGCCCCAGCATTTTTAAAAAACCTGTTATGGTTACAGGGCTAGCTGTCCCTTTTGGGAGTTCTTGAGTGCACTGCCCTCCTCCGGTGTTACCCGACCTTTACCTTTTCCAGGGTGGAATTCTGCAGTTCTTAGATTCAACTTCAAGACCTGAAGGGGCCATCCAAATCACCTAGGCCAGGGTTTCCCAACCTATGGGTCGGGACCCAAATATGGGTCACCAATACATTTCAAAAGGGTCATCAAGTGTCTGCTCAGGTAGCTCGGCCCTTCCTCCTCCCCCCGTTTTTGAATTGCCCTGGGTCGCCAAGTCTTCCTGAATTGTCAAAATGGGTTCCCATCTGGAAAAGTTTGGGAACCACTAATCTAGGCTGACCCACATCTTGCAGGCCACAGAACCTCAGCACTCACTCCTCTTACAGACCCCTCACCTCTGGCTGAGTTACCAAAGTCCTCAAATCTTGATTTTTTTTTGTTTTTTTTAAGATTTCAAGTTATGGAGAATCATTTATGCATCTCTTCTCCTGCCCCCACTGCAATCTGGACTGCAGGGCCCTGTTTCAACCCTTCTTAGTCCATAGATTCAACTTTCTGGCACCTGTGGTGCTTCCCACCCTTCGACCAATGCCATACACAAAGTGTTGCTTGTTTTGCACTTACAGCAAAACAATGAGACATGCCAACCTTACCTTAAGCCTTACCATCCCCTTACAGTAACCCAGTAGGCCTAACTTCTTCAGACACTTTCAGTTAGGAGCAGATGCGTCTCAATCAGACCTTACCAAACAGCTAGGGTTGCCAGGTGTCTGGTTTTGAACCAAACAGTCCAGTATTTGAGCTTTCTGTTTGGGAAAAAAAATTGAGAAAACAGAAATGCCCGGTATATTCTAAATAAGATGTAATGTAGATTGTGATATATGTCAAGCGTGTCCGGTATTTTTGTTGAAACCATCTGGCAACCCTATAAACAGCACCCCTACCCCTGAGACGGAGTTCCTCTTCAAACCCCTCTATTGTAGGCTGGCTGGTTTTGCTTGCTTGTTTGACTCTGCTCCAAAGACTCTTGGTGATTCAGAAAAGTGTTGTGGGGTGGGGAGGATGGTGATCCCTGACAGAGGTGTGAGGTTTGGGTGTCCTCCCCTCCCCCCATTATATGTAGCTTGATTTTTTTCTTTGAGAATTGGGTCCTGCTATCCAGATGCAGATCTGCCACAGAGCCAATTTCCCACCTAATGCCAGACAAGCTTTTCATTGGAAGGAAACAGACCATCTTTGTTCTGCCCCAGAAAACCTTCCCAATGTGGTTCTGTCAGTCATGAGGCACCATGCTGAAAAAAGTTGGTGGATGAGTGATTCAAAGAGGAAAATGCTTCTTAGGCGGTGTGACTCCTATTGATGAGGATATATTGTATGAAGTGGCAAAGCACAAGCGACCTAAGGAACATACTGTCATTTCAATACCGACTTTTGATGGGTTCTTCTTGTGTGCCTGTGTTTTTGGGCCCCTGGTCATACCTTAATGGCTGCATCACCACACGGCTCACACACCTCTGTAATCAAGGCCCTTTCCAGTTGCTGAAAATTAAAAATTAAAAGTTTAAGTTTTCTCTGCCAGTGGCTCGCAGTCTTCTCTTTTGAATGATCCAGGACACTTGAAGCACCGAGGGCAGCTGGGAATCTGACTGGTCAGACAGCAGGAAAGATCTTGCAGAAAGCTTCAATACTTCATGCTGCAGCTTTTGTTCAGGTTTTTTAAAATGTTACCCCAACCCTGTTGTCAATGGAAAAGAGGAAAACAATTGTCAGGAGGATATTAAAATAAGGTTTTGAAATAAACTAATGGAAACTTTTTTTAAAAAAAAAGCTGCGTCGTCCTCTCTCCCCCCAATGAAAAATGTTCGTCAACACAGTTCAGGAACTCCCCTCTCTGGTGAGAACAACATGGTTCTGCAGCATGAAGCTTTGTATTGCTCAGTCAGGAGCTAGCAACAGCGAACTTGTCAGGGAGGCCAGCCAATGCGAAATACTTTCCTAATGTCTCCTGTGCTGTCTTGCAGCCAGGAATCTGCCTCCCAAAGCCTTGGCATGCTCTGCCAGCCTCATGGATGGCAGAATATTCACAATGGCCTGCTGGGCAGAAGAGAGAGATGCAGCTTAACTATTGAACTAAAGGAACAAACTAGCAAGAAACAACTTCCTCCCCTCTCCAGGGACGAGACGTTAAACAGAGGAAAGAGTTTGTCAGGCACCTTGCTAGGCCAGTGTTTATCCCAGTGGATTTTTAAAAAAATCCTCTGATTAACATGGGGTGCCCCTGTAGGACAAAAGCCCTGCACTTGAGCTCTCTCTGATTTGCTATTTCATGGGAATTAGACTAACATGTCTTCAAAAATCCATACAACCAACCTTTTTTTCTTAATGCTGCCTTACTCTTGTTTACTGTGTTGAATCCTGGGTCCCAGGACATGAGAGAGACAAGGTAGGTAAGAGATTTTATTGGATTAACAGCTGTTGGTAGAAGGGCCAAGATTTTGAGCTACACGGAATGATCTCTTCCAGCCTTAGGAAGGAAGCAGGCACTTTCTCAAGACACTTAGCTGAAAAGCTTATGTCTTCCACCTGCAGCTGTTGATCCAGTCAGCAATATTACCCCACCCACCTCGTCTCTCATGTGCCAATTAACTCTTTCTCCATTAAGGGACATTTTAAATACCTTCTCCCAGGTAGGTAGGATGAGCTTATTGAAAGAATGTAAAGATTTTTAATTGGGGGAAGGAGTTGGTAGGCAGTGATCATGTATCTCCTTATATGAAGAAAGCATGATAGGTCTCAAATTAAATTATAAGTAAATTATCCTATAGATACCATAAACTATTGGTGTCTGACAGTATATGGTCACAATATCGCTTCCATCACCCAATAGACCATGTGCAGTATTTACTACTTAAATCCCCTAACAATAGGTAGAGTTGAACCATCAGCTATCTGATAATACTGATGGCAGCCAAGAGGCAGCCAGACAATGCTGGCATCCTAACCCAATAGTGGGAAGAAGCTGATGTGACCATAACTCTCCCCTCTGCTTGCACCAATAAAAGGCCTTTTCTGTGTCTATTTCCTCCCAGTAAGAGAAGGCTTAGACCTCCGCTTGCCCACATCCGGCCTCTGAGGCTCAACCCCCGTCCCTCCCCCCACAGAATTGGGGAGCCCATGCTGGTGCTCCAGCCCCTCTGCTATTCCCCTGTGGGGCTGGAGCACAAAATCTGCTAGCCTGGGCCCCCCAAGCTCTGGTGTGTGAGGGGAATGTGGGGAGTACTGTTCTTTTCACTCAGGGCCATGTCAGTGAGGTTTGGGGGGTTTTGTTTTGTTTTTCACTTCTGTGGCCCTGACTGATTTTTTTTTTCCTGTGGGTCAATCCAGAGAAGGTTTCCCACCCCCAGCTTCGTGCGATAGCAGCTTATGTGTTTTAATTAAAGGCACAACATCCCTTACTTTCAGACTTGCACCATGGTCTCGTCACTCTCAGTAAAAGGAAGCTAGCACCTGAAAGCTTTCAAATGCTGCAACCTTCCTTTGAGCAAGTTGGCTCCCTTCCCTTGTAAGAGACGTGGAGCAAAGTGAACATTCTAGAAAAGTCCTAAAATCATAGCTCCCTGCCTTTTCTGGAAAGTGCACCAGTTCACTATGCTTAAACCCACCAGAACAGCCAGGTTCTGCAACCTCTGCTGCTCATCCAGCTGTGCTGTCTGCTATTTCTCAGCAGAGGGGGTGGACTGTTCCAGAGCCCAGTCGCTGATGAGCAGGATAAGCATCTGAACCCAAGAAGCCACAAAGCAGAGGGCAAAGCACCCCAGGTTGGATGAGACATGGGCCTCAGCAGACAGGCTCAATAAAGAATAGAAGGGAGACAGAAATATCAGCATTGGAACCAGCACCAGCTTTAAAATCATCCTTTAAAATACATGCAACCAATACCTGTTAGTGCTTCCCAGTGCAGTAACTCGGCCTGGAGATCCCATAGACCACATGGAACACCACAGCCTTCTAGCTGCACTGCTGGAAACTTTGAAAACACATTTGTTTTAAAGAACACACCAACGTGCTTATCAAACAGCTTATGTACCAAACATGACACGACCACAGAGAGAGAAAGGAAACTGAAGAACTATGGTTTAACATTTAGCATACAGGCATCTAAGTTTTCTTTGTGGTGTGTCAGATCCATATGGAGCAAACATCCCTCTGTTAAAAAAAACAAAAAACATATTAGCTCACTCCCCCCAGATAGTCCCCTCTATCACCTTGAGATAAAGGAGGTCTCATTTAGCTAACAGTAGTAAGTACTAGTTTTAGGCTAGCATTGTTTTCCTAAGGAGCCTCACCTTCTCAGCACATGCTGAGAACTGGGTTTTGCTGACTCCTTCGTGTAGGTGAGCCAATGAAGTGCACGAATGTAAGGGAGGTGGGAGAGTACAGCTCAGAGTGTGGGTTGAGAGAGGAACCTTTGGAGCAGCTAATTTTGGTGAGAAGCTGAGAGAAATTTAACTTGAATACAGAGAAATCAAGATAAGTCCCAGGAAGTGGATGAGTTTGACTCAATGCAGTTTGAGGACTTGGGCCCAGCTTTCAAAACAGTTAGCGTTAAGTCCCTAAGTACCTGTGAGGACCAGGGCATCAGTTGTAGAGCCAGTTTAGAAGGGAAAGTACTCATCATATATCCGTAGCCTCAACCGCTAAAGAGCAGCATCACACAAAGTCAGTGCCTTTATAGTAGGGGAAACCTGGCCACACTGATGTCAATAGCTAAATTTCCATTGACTTTGTTGGGGTCAGGACTTAGAATCCTAGGGCTGGAAGAGACCTCAGGAGGTCATCAAGTCCAGCCCCCTGCCCAAGGCAGGACCAAACCCACCTAAATCGTCCCAGCCAGGGTATATCAAGCCAAGACTTAAAATCCTCTAGGGATGGAGATTCCACCAACTCCCCAGGGAACCCACCCCAGTGCTTCTCCTCCCTCCTAGTGAAATAGTTTTTCCTAATAGCCAACCTAGACCTCCCCCACTGTAACTTGAGACCATTGCTCCTTGTTCTGTCATCTCTCACTACTGTGAACAGCCTCCATCCATCCTCTTCGGAACCTCCCTTCAGGAAGTGGAAGGCTGCTATCAAATCCCCCCTCACTCTTCTCTTCTGCAGACTAAATAAGCCCAAATCCCTCAGCCTCTCCTCATAGGCCATGGACTTAATCCAGCTGTGACTTCATAAATGAATGCATGAGGGGGAAGTGGGGTGAGTTCGCAGTCTAGTAACTCATAACGGAGGTGGGGCCCAGACACTCCAGGACTTTGGCAGAAGCTGAGTTCCCAAACCCACTTTTAATCAGTAGGCTGTTGGGGGAGTCGCCACAACAGAGCTCTCTCACAAGGCTGCAGAAGAGTCTGCGTTTCTGAAATACATTGTGCTGGTAAAGTAGGTTAGAAGTATGCTGAGAGGAGACTCTGTGTCAGACCCCTGCTTGGAAATGGGTCAAGGGCATTGCTGCCAAAATGGCAGTTGTCAGAGCATTTCTGGGTGGGCTAAGCTAGACAGTGCAGAGTCATACAACAGTAAGGCAAAAACGAAGTCAGCTAAATGTTTATAGCCACAAAGGCAAAGTGATTTGGCACTAGCTCGCCTACGCCTGAGTCAGTGGTGAAGAGGGTTAAACAAATTAAACAGCAGCTCCACAGTTACTTATTCGGCCATTTCATTATCTACCTCCAGTGAGTCCCCCGGCCCACTCAATAGAAGCAAGATAGAACACAGGACCTGGAATCAAGGTACTTGAGTTCTTCTTCAGCTGTACAACCTAAAGTGCTGCTGTACTTCAATTTCTTCCTCTGTAAAACAGGGAGAATTGCATGACGCAGGCTTATGTAGAACTAGTGCTATTACAAAAGCACTTGGAAGTTGCCTAGATATTTAACAACCTATTTACAGAAGCTAGACTTGAACAAATACCTCTGGATCCAAACACCCCTGAATTTTCTAATTGTGTGACTCTGACCCACTACAGCAATCGATAGAATTACCAAATTAATGAATAACTTCAAATCCTAATTAGAAGGTGACTTAGAAATACTTCAGATTCCTAAAGGATTGTTACTATTGCAAGAACTGCACTTAAGTTATCCACTGTTGCATACAGATGTGCTATTTGTGAAGCATAAAGAGAGTTGCTATTTAACAGCCATTACAATTAAAATTTGCCTCTATGCAATTCTTTGTGTAAGAGGGCTTGTGTTTTTGTACTAATAGTTAAAACCACAGCCTTCCCCCATACAAACCTGAATGTTTTTATTCTACGTGCAGTAAACAAGACATTGCGGTTTACTTTGTTTTTACCTACATGAACCACAGGGTAGGGTGTTCTTGAACTTTATTTTAAAAACACCCCAAATCAACAAATCTGTAGAAGATTTGTATATTAGCCTTCATGCTAGTTACAGAGCTGTTCTGTTAGGTGCTGGTGACGATGCAGTGACTGTGTAGTCATTACATGATGAGCAACAAATTGCTTGTGATGATGCATGTTACAACCTGTCTTCGAGCAAGGGATGGCGTTGGAGAAAATCATCTTAGCTTTCCCTGTTCCTCTCTTTAAATAGGTCTCAGTGTAAAATGGCTTTGTGAGATTTCATGCTTTCAGTCCTTTAGAAACGCCACAAGTTCAGTCACTTTATAAGCAAATAATTTTGTGTAATGGCAAATGGAATCTGGGGCCAGAACGTCAAGCTGGATTATTTCCATTTTATGCCTCACTACTGGTGTGAAGTTCTGAAACTGGAGCTTGAATAAAAATGTTGATGTGTGACCTGGAAAAATAATCTATGATTGCTCTACAGTGTTACCAGGGGCCAAACGGAATAACTTGCTTTTTACGTGAAAATCCAAGTGAGTCATTTTTTGCAGAGAGCAGAACAGTAACTTCCAATCTGAAGTGAAAGCTATTGCATGGATCTTCCCCATGGGGTTTCTGATTAAACCCTCTTGTCAGTTACATGACTGACAGATAGAAATACAGTACTAGTTGCATTACTTAACAATAGTGGTGCCGCCTTATCCAAAATTAAGTTTTCCCATCCCTGGGAGCACAGATGTGCTTACAACTCAACTTGTAGTTCCGCCCCATTATTTCATCCCTTTTAAGTTTGCTGAACAAAGCTGTACTTCCTAACGTATCCTCCCTTTTTCTCCTCGGCCTTTCCCCCACTCCAGGTTACACTCAGCCCTGTCCCTTCCTATGTCAGTCTAGCTACATCGCTCAGAGGTGCGCAAAATCTTTGAGAGATTTAGTTAAGCTGACCTAAGCCTCACTACTGACAGTGCTATGTCAACGGAAGAATTCTTCTTAGGCTCTGCCTTTGAGAGGTGGATTTGTAGCAGCCACAGAAGTACCCTGTTGACTGACACTACACCTGCAGCTGTACTGATGGAGTGATGCTAGTGCAGACAAACCCTAAATATAAGATTGGTTTTTTGCCACAAAAGACTTTAAATTCAGCTTTGGCTTTCATTTTCGCTCTCATCCGGCTTCTTCCTTTTGTATATACGTCCCCTCTCGTGTGTCTCATGTCTGTATAAGGAACAATACACTTCAGGGACATCACCAACCTCCAACTTTTGGAGGTAGCTGCACTGTTTTGCTACCTTCCTCCAATCAGCTGATCCTGGCCACTGTCAAAGACAGAAGTATGGACTATCTGGACCACTGGTCTGATCAGTAGGACTATTTGTACAACTAAGATCAGATTATCAGCTCTCCAGGGAAAGGAGGGTTCTCCTGTGAGCTCTAAGGGTCTACACTGCAGAAAAAGACCCTACAACTCAAGTTAATTGACACGGGCTCATGGGTCTAAAAATGGCAGTGTGGATGCTTAGGGCTGAACATTTAATCCCTCAAGGCTGACTTGGAGCAGAAAGATGCTGCGGCATCACACTTCTGTCCTCTCCCTGCCCTAGCACGTCTCTGTGCCAGCTCTTTTCCGATTTTCAGCAGCACCCGTCAGGAAAACGGCTATTTTTGTTGTGTTCAAGGTAAATACAGTAAATGGAATCCAGCTCAAATTCCTAGTCCAACCACATGTACAACCCCTTGACTCCACTGCTTTGAAGAGCTGGAGATAATGTCCTTTTGATGGCATATGATGGAGAAAAAAAATCCTCCCCTTTTTCAGTGAGTGCCTTATTATTTATTTTATTGTAGGTACCATTTGTCCTAATGCAGGACTTGCACTGCAAATGTTGCTTGTACTGGAACATTATAAATAACTATCCCTATATAACACTTTTTCTGTGGTATAAATAGACCGTATAGAGGGATGCCTCAAGAACAGCGGTGCATGTTTTGCCTATTAAGGGTTTCTCACTAACTGAAGCACTGACTCGAATGCTGAAGATAGATCATGCTTCTGTTAGTGAGAACACCAAGCAAGCGCCTACTTTGTACCTACCATTCTCAGGCCTTCACCATTAGAGATCTGCAGCCTCAATTCATTTTTCTAGGGACAAACTGTGGACCACAATTTTCTTTACACAAATTGTTCCTTCAAACAGGGAAGAGGGCTTTTTAAAACCCTAGTCCTACAGGTATTTTGCTTCTCCATTACATCTATTTATAACCTATGCTGTACCCCCTCTTGAAACCAGTCTCTCCCGCAAGTTCCGCTATCCTGGGAGGTGGCACGTGAACACCCTCACCCCATAGTTTTTAGTTTGCTCAGGATAGGCAAGAAGTGTTTCACAGACGTATAGTGGGTCAGGGACTTGTATAGCAGCAACAGGAAGGCAGAATGGTGACTCAGCTAAAGGCTTCTTTTCATCATGCTTGATACTAGGAATCAGAGAAATTCAAGCTGTTGGCTTACATGAGGCAGAAAACGAAGTCATGAACATTTATTTCTAAGTGACACTCTTAAGGTAGCTCTGTTTCCTCTTTTCATGAGTGTCCTGGGTGGATTGCAGCTGGGAGGACTGCAATTTACTTATCTGAAATTCTTCTGTATTTCAGTTGTTTGTGGTTTTTCTTCACTGCTTGTCCTCCTACGACTCTGCTAATTTTGTATATACTTCAGTTTGCTGCGGTCCAGCCCAGAGGAAGCTGAGTTGGCCCAGTGGTTGATGGGAATGTTCTGTTCATAATGAAAGGGGCAATGTGTCA